TGGCTGCTCACAGTGAACATCATTATGACACCACATGAATGTCTCCACTCTGAGTGACTGCGGATAAGCAAATTCACAGGGAATCACCACAGTAGATCCTGTCACAGCACAGACTGGACTCAATGGATAGTTTATATCCAAGGCTCCTGGAAAACAAAATATTATGGAAGGCAGCATAATATAAATTGATATAAATATCAATTTTTTAATTGATTACTCAGGAGATGTGCTGAAGCAAACCGATATTTTTTTGCAGGTTAAAATGATTATACATGCAGGATCCATCCATCTGTCTTCTGTAACTACTGTCCTGTTCAGAGTCTAGGGGGTCCAGAGTCTATCCCAAAGGCTACGGGCACAAGGCAGGGAATAACCCAGGGTGCACCATCTTATCGCGGAGGACACTAACACACCATTCACCTACACATGCATACCTACGGGCAATTTGGCATGTTTTTGGATTATGCAGGGAAACCGGAGTACCTGGAGGAAACCCCACGATGACATGTAGAGAACATGCAAACTCCACACACATAATAAAGAATTTAAACATAACCTGAATTTGAATTGTTCAATATAATATTAATGGGAGTGCTACCTGTGGCCATCAGACTCAACAATGAGTCTCCTTCCTGACCAGGTATGTGCGGACAGGGGGGGCCTTAGTGCCTGCCCCCTTTGCTTGAATGAAATTGCCCCCTTTTCATGTTCAAAGTGCCCTTCTTAGACAACTGACAATCACGCAAAATCGTAGAAATTTACCAACTGCCCCCCCACCCCCAGATCGCAAAAACGCACCACAATGTACCGGTTGCCCATGATCCCCCACTCAGGCAGCTCCCCCTCGAAAGGTCTGCACATGTCACTGCTCCTGACCTCTTACTGCCAAACGGCCTGGAGTTATAGATCACCAAACATTTGCATGGGCTGTTTTTTTCCCCAATACTCCACTTTTGGTTACATTGTGCCTTTCATATTCCCATTGTATTGTATTGTTTTACATTTTATGCTGCTGTACCTTCTGTAATTTCTGTAACGCTGATCTGGACCAGCGGTTAGAAAATAGATAGATGGATGGATGAGAATATTATTTATTGTAATCTAAAAGTAATTATCCTACTTGACCAATAACTCCACAAAACTTCAGATTATATTCTGTCTGTATAACTTATATAAATATAATTCACAAATGTAAGCACTTAAAATTAATCTAAATAGTCATTCCTTCTAAATAGGTTTTTTGTTTAGAAACTTAGGAATGAAGCTGGACCGTTAAAGGCTTCTTTGAGATACTCGTTTCTGATTAAAAGCAAGTCAGTTGTGCAGCATGTGTAACAGGACATGTGTCCTACCTGAGCAGATGACTCCGGAATCTTCCTGATAGCCACAGGGAGGATAAACGATTCCTCCCCATAAATAGGGTCCACAGTAATACTGTGTTGGCCCCCACCCTACACAGCACATCTGCGGCTTGTTGATCCATCCTGTTCCTGCTCCAAAGTGAGCACGTCCTGGTGTTGCTACAGCATTTCCACAGGACATCCGTCCACACACCTCTGTAGCATCCATCATACTCCATCCACGATTACACACTGTGTTCCACTGTCCATAGTGAAGAACCTCCACTATCCCAGCACAGCGGCTGCCACCATCCACCAGCCTCACGTCGGTACTGAGTGGAAGAATCGGACACTGAGAATAGACAGTGCCTGGAAGCACAGGACGGTCACTGTAAGTGTCAGGTCAGTATAACAGTCGTACAGTACATCCTGTTTACAGAGGTGTAACACATGGGTATCAGTGGAAAATAAAGTACATCCCTAACTTAGTTCACGTTTCATATCCAAATTTTTACTTAATGGAACCTGAAGTGGTAATACGCAGTCTTCCAGTTTCCAAGTTCCATTTTTGGGTTTCTGAACATCGAAAGTGGGCCAAATCTCTCACCGATTCAACTGCATCTGACTCTCATCTTCTAACTACAATTGAATTACTGTATATGACAGTTTTAAATATGTCACTGGAATTTTCTTCCATTTTCCATTCCCTGAACCAGCACAAGGTCACGGGGGCAGGGAAGTCAGCTTAAGGCAAAAGGCAGAGGACTCCCATTGAGCATTGAGTGTTACAACTCAGTCATAAGGGCCTTAATCTATAGAACGATTTTCAGATTCACCCAAATGAAGGAATTCTGGCCTTAT